GGGGCTCGAACTCACAAACCATGAGATCATGACCTGAGCCAATGCCGGCCACTCACCCGACTGAGCCACCCAGGTGCCCCCGAAATAAGAACACTGATTTTAAAAAACAATTTTTTTAAACTACATGAAGTATAAAAAAGGAAATTTATTCACATACTTGGCCTTGACCAAAAGAGCAAATAACCAACAGAGGCAGAAAAAGCATTTGATGAAAGTCAACACCTGTTCGGGAGACCAAAATACCAAACCCTTCCTTAATCTGATAAAGAAAGAACCTTTCTTCCCCCTAGACTACATGGTAGCAGTAAGCACTGAGTTCATGTTCCAGATGCACAGAAAATAAACGTGTGCACTGTGGAAAGGGATCAGTACACCATTGTAGCATGGCGTTCACGAATACGGACGTTAAAAGTGGGCTCTCCCATCACGGCCCTTGTGACTTCCGGTGGACCAGGTAACCTCCGGTGGACCAGGTAACCAGATTTGAGCGGCGAAACAGACAACTTCTAAGGGACAGCAACGTCCAGTTGCTCCTAGGTTGGTGGAGACTGACCAGAAGGAAAGGCTTAGAGGGGCAGCATTTGAGAGAAGAGGAGGGGAGAGGCAAGTGATGTTCAGGGGCAGCAGAGGGGATCTGAGGCCCCAGCGGCCAGGCCCTGGGGGCCAGAGCAGAGGAAGAAATGACGGGGGTGGCTGGGAACAGAACAAGGGTGGCTGCTGGCTGGGGACGTCGGTGCGGTGCCTGCCTGGCCCCCATCCCCTCCCTCTAGGGGAAACTTCCCCCACAGCAGTCTCTACCTGTGAAAGTCTAAACTCGTCCCTATAAAAAGCTTCCATATAAATGCTTCTGTATAAAAAGCTTCAGCCTTTATTAAATAAAAAGGAGGTAGAAGACAGAGGAACAGGCCGGGTACCCCTCCTTCCAAATACACAGATACAGGCATACAGACAGACACAACCGAATGAGTGACAGGGACAAGTCACGGGACAGACTGAAGGGCGGAGGGAGGCAGCACCCTCCGAGAGTGGGCCCGGACCCAAGGGTGGGCTGAGACCTGGGCCAAGGGTAGCCGTTCGGAGGGGTTATGCTTGAGCAGCTTGGAGATGAGGTCCTGGGCTCCCGTGGGCACGGATGGGGGGAACTTCAGGTCTACCTGCAGAAGGAGAGGAAGAAGGGCCCCCGTAGCTTTATCCCTGACCACCCAGTTCACTTGGACAATGACCTAGGGCCCAGGCCCTGCCGGCCCCTGGCCTCTGTGCGAAGCCCCCGCCAGGCACTGGGGCCCACCCTCCTACCTTGACGATGCGTCGATAGGTCTCATTGTGTGAAGCGCTCTCGAAGGGCGGGTTTCCCACCAGCAGCTCATAGCAAAGGACCCCGATGCACCACAGATCCACCTTCTCGTTGTGCGTGCGCCCTTCAATCATTTCTGGAGGCAGGTAGTCCAAGGTGCCACACATCGTCTTCCTCCTGGGTGGATTGGGGAGGGGGGAAGAGACCCCAGATAAAGATGGCCTCTCTTTTCCCCGCCATTCGACAGCCAAGCGACCCCCAGCATGAGCCAGCGGGGTGTCTCAACCAGACTCTGACAGGGTCCCGGGGGCAGGACTAGGTACAACCCAAAGTGGGGCGCCTGGGTGGCTCAGTCGGTTGAGCGTCCGACTTCGGCTCAGGTCATGATCTCGCGGTCCGTGAGTTCAAGCCCCGCGTCAGGCTCTGTGCGGACAGCTCGGAGCCTGGAGCCTGCTTCGGACTCTGTGTCTCCCTCTCTCTCTCTCTGCCTCTCCCTCCCCCCACACCTCAAAAATAAATAAATAAACATTATGAAAAAAATAGAGGTAGAATGGCACACAGGGGGATGTACCTGGAAATAATCAGATCTAAGGGCAACGCTCATCTTAGAAGTAAAGGAAAAACGGGGGGTGAAGGAAAAACTGGGGACATGTCAAAAGTCCAGGAAGCAATGAAATATATCAGGTTCCATGTCTATCGTGCAATACTATGGAGCCATTACAGATGATGGGGGAACATCCTGAGCAACATGGTAAGAGGGTCCCAACATATTCAGCAGGAAATCTGGGCAACAAAATTGCGGGTCTCCGATTCTTGGAAAGATATTGCTGTGTCTCTACGGACAGGAGGACAAACCCACATGTGTCTAGGTAACGAGCTCTGTAGTGGTATTATTTTGACCGCCCCAGCCATTCGCCCCTAGGGCAGGGCTCCTGGCCCACCATACCTCAGGGAGGGGGCATGCACAGACCAGCCAAAGTCGGCGATCTTCAGCTCTCCCTGGAGCCCCAAGAGCAGATTCTCTGGCTTTATGTCTCTGTGAATCACCTTCTTCCCGTGGCAGTACAACAGAGCGTCCGCCAGCTCCTCCATGATCTGGGGGGTGGGGGTGGGGGCAATGACAGGATGTCAGACAAGGCTGGACCTCAAGCTACAAGCAGCGGGGGCCCCCAGCCTCGGGCCCCTGCCGGTGCCCCAGGCGCCCACCCGCCCGGACCGTGGCTGTTCGCTGCTCGTCAAAAGTGCGGCTCTTCTGCAGCTCCTTGTAGAGCTCGCCCCGGGGGGCATACTCCAGAATCAAGTAGATCCTTCGGCGGTCGTAGAAATAGTTGTAGAGACGCAAGATGTTGGGGTGCCTGGAGGAGGGAAGGGAGGACTCAGGTTGCACCCTGACAGAAGGGAATGGGAAAGACAACAGTGCCACGTGGGGCAAACCGGGGTCCCGTTGGGGACTGGGAGCTCCGGGGCGCTAAGTGGCAGCGGAAGAGGCAGTCTGGATGGGGCGGGGGTGAAAGGGGAGCGGAGGGAGGAGCTGGGAGGGGCTTGGGTCGGCGCACAGGGGCTCGTACTGCAGATGGGCCTGGATTTCGATCTCCCTGCGAAGCTGGTGCTCCACACCCTCCTTTTCTATCTGAGACTTGAACAGGACCTTGAGCGCCACGATGAAATGGCTTTTCTTCTCCCGAGCCAGGTACACGTTGCCAAACTTGCCTTTGCCCAGAGGACGCCCAATCTCAAAGTCATCGATGGTGAAGGATCGCCTGCTTGGAAGTGGGAGGAAGGCAGCCGAGTGACGGCCGGGCGGTCCCCCGAGGTGGGGACTCCCTGAGCCCTGTTTCCCTCCGGAGGGAGTGGAGGAGGGACCAGGCGCTCCTGCCCCGAGCGGCTACCTCTCCCGTTTCCTACCTAGTCCCTGTCCTGTCTCCTCCCCCGCCACCCCAAGGCTTGGGTACTCACATGGAGAAGTTGGGGGTCCCACTGCTGTTCTCTACCGCCTTCTGGCCAGGGGCGGCTAAGCAAACGACAGGGGAGTTGAGGCCCTCCTTTGATATCTTCATCCCTGCACCCACCCCCTAGACCCTGGTCCGCCCAGCTCAATCCTCTCCCGGTCCCGGTTACCTGTGGGCTGGGTGTTGGAGCGGCTCATGAGGACAAGCGCGGATGGGGTGGCAGGCTCCTTCCGGAGGACCCTCTGGGGCAGGGTGTTCAGGCCAGGCTGAGTCTGAGAAGGAGCAGGGGGAGCTCTGAGGGTGCCTTTGTTCCAGGGACCCGCTTGGAATGTGCTACCAGCAGCATTTCAGTACTTGCTGAGGGTCACCCAGCCACCCACCTGTTCAAAGAGGAACACTGAGACCACAGTTTTGCCCAAAACTCCCAAAGCTCCACTCCTCATCGCTCTGTATTAAAATAGGTTCTTCTTTTTTTTTTTTTTTTTTTTTTTTATGCTTATTTATTTTGAGAGAGAGAGCAGGGGAGGGGCAGAGAGATAGGGAGAGAGAGAATCCCAATCAGGCTCTCCATTGTCAGCACAGAGCCCAAAGCGGGGCTCGATCCCAAGAACCGTGACAGCATGACCTGAACGGAAATGAAGAGTCAGATGGTCCACTGACTGAGCCACCGGGGAGCCCATAAAATGGGTTCTTAGTAAGCAACCTAAGGTGGCCTGAGATAAGAAGCAGAGGACTTGGGGCACCATGGCCCTGTCGGTTAAGCATCCGACTTCAGCTCGGGTCATGATCTCACGGTTCCTGAGTTCGAGCCCCGCATTGGGCTCGGTGCTGACAGCTCTGAGCCTCAAGCCTGCTTCGGATTCTGTGTGTGTCTCTCTCTTTCTCTCTCTGCCCCCTCCCCCGCTCACGCACTCTCTCTCTCTCTCTTCCTCAAAAATAAACATTAAAAAAAAATTTTTTTTAAAAAGGACTCAGTCACCCCAACACCGAACATTTCACCTCTTTGGCCCTGGCCCACACCACATTCTCAGGCACGAAACTGTCCAACCTCTACAGTCCGGTCCATCTGCAACCCCACGCTCATTCACACCAGCTCCCATCCCAGCGGGCAGTAGAGGGCAGGTTAACAAATGCCCCCAATTCAAGGATCGGCAGAGACACCCTCACTCTCCCTAAAAAGCTCAGTCTCATAAGGCTTAGCTGAGGTCCTGGAGGTCTTGAATGTTGCAACAAATTCCAGTATTTACCCCTTTGCAACAAGAGGCTCTGGAGGCAGCGAGGGCTACTCTGATGCCCCCGGACCACTTCTCACTTGCTATTTCTCCGAGTAATATATACATCTGTTTTTTGTCACTGTAGACATGACAATGGTTTCTATTTCAGTCTCCGTTCTTTTTTTTTCTTTTAAGTTTATTTATTTTGGGAGAGACAGAGACAGCGTGAGCAGGGGAGGGGTAGCGAGAGAAGGAGAGGGAGAATCCCAAGCAGGCTCCATCCACGCTGTCACCGCAGAGCCTGATGTGGCGCTGGATCTCATGAAACCGTGAGATCAGGACCTGAGCCGAAACCAAGAATCGGTCGCTTAACCCACTGGGCCACCCAGGCACCCCTCAGCCTCCATTCTTGAGAGCCTCGATAAGTGCTCCACGAGGAGGCGAGCTGGTGGGCAAGGGGATAGATGGACGCTGCAGGATACCCAAGCCCCACCGACGAGGGAGCAAAGCCTACGAGAGCCCCTTCCTTGTTCTTAGCCAAGAGAAGATGAAAACCTGGTGCCCTAAAAACCCATTCCCGAGCAATGATACGAGCACAGAAGTTACAGATGAGCAAGCTGAACAAAACAGGGTCCAGAAACAGACCCACATACAGGGGGGCATTTCATACAATAAAGGTGGCATTTCAAATCAGAGAGTAGACTCGCCACTGAAAAGGTCGTAGGACAACTGGAAAATAAATCTCTTTAGATCTTTCCTTCACACCAGTCGTTAAAACAGACTCCAAATTATTAATCTTTTAAACTTACATAAGCCCGTTCAGAGTCTATTTCTATTTCCTACTTAGCCTATTATTTCGGGATAAGGGTTGGGAACCACGGAACCTGTCTGCTCGGCCGAGATAGCATGTATACGTGACAAGGAGGCTCAA